TTAATATTATTATTACAAATGATCAGGCAAAAGATCACAATCAGAATTATTTACTACACAGTATAAGCGCTAAAACTACCAGTAGTGTGGTATAAAATAGGATAGTGCACTGCATTGAAGCAGTTATTGAAACAATTACATTGAAGCTGTCAAAAAGGAAATAATTATTAAGCAGAGATTTGATGCAACCCACCCAGACCAACACTTGTGGGGAGATGACCCCGAGCTCAGTTGGTTACAGTGTGGTGTTAATAACACCAAGGTTGTGGGTTCAATCCCCACACTGGCCATTCATGTAAGAGTTGGACTCGATGACCCCAGTGAGTCCCTTCCAACTCAGAATAATCACTGTCTCTGGTTCCTGCTCCCCAGTGTCCCCAGACTGAGTTTCTGGGACCCCACCTGCCCCTCAGGCCAAATTCATGGCTCAAAGCGGCCTCTGTGCTGCTGGGGTTGATCCTTTATCTTCACAGCCTGCTGATAATGGAGGTGGAAACGCCGGGTTTTCCCCACCCAGAGCAGTCAGTGCCCGCAGGGAGCCTGTTCCTGTTGCACAAGGGCTGCCAAGGCTGCGGGTCGGGGTGGGTGAAGGGCGATGATGAAGAGCTGCCCCCAGCCAGGGCGGGGGCTGTTGATTAACCTGAACCGTCTGACCCCGTTGGCATCACTCTGGTCCCACTGAGCCACTTCTCCCCGGCCTGCCCGTCTCTTTCCATGCCCTGTCACCCAGCGTGGCACCGTTTTCCTGTGACTCAGCCCTGGTTCCTCATTAACGGGGTTGCACATTTATTTCTCATGCCGGTGCCTCCAAGGCTGTGGCAGGGACGGTGCCCGGCCGATCCCCTGCTGGGAGCAGCATTCCCGGACAGTGCCAGGCCAAGAGCAGGGTTTTGGGACGGTGCCCAGCCGATCCCCTGCCGGGAGCAGCGTTCCCAACGTTCCCCACCGTGCCCAGGGCTCGGACGGGTCGGCGCGTGCCGGCTCCGTGGTGTTTCCACCGCTCACCGTGTCTGGTCTTTGAGCTGGAATCAAACCACAATCCAAACAGCCCCGGGGTTTGGCAGGATCTGAGCACGTCTGTCTGTCTGTCTGTCTGTGTGATTAAACCAGGCTCGGTGAGCGTGCAGAGCTCGGCGGGCTCTTCCCAGCAGTCAGCTTCCCCTGCCTGGTCCAGGGCTGGGAAACGAGTGGGATTTGGGGGGTTTGACCAGATGTCCCGACTCAATCTGAAATTCAAAGCCACAGCCAAGGCTTGACTCGCTCAGAGACGGATCTGACTGAGCATCTCCAGCTGCTGCTGCCAGCCTGGCAGAGCTGGGGCAGTTCAGCCTGGAATCACAGAATATGCTGAGTTGGAAGAGACCCACAAGGATCATCCAGTCCAACTCTCAGCCCTGCACAGGACCATCCCCAAGAGTCACACCCTGTGCCCCAGAGGATCATCCAAACACTCCTTGAGCTCTGTCAGCCTTGGGGCTGTGCCCAGTGGTCCTGGAGAGCCTTATTGGTGCCCAACTACCCTCTGGGGGAAGAACTTTTTTCTAAAATCCAACCTCCCCTGACACAACTTCAGGCCATTCCCTGGGGTCCTGTCCCTGGTCCCCCCAGAGCAGAGCTCAGTGCCTGCCTCTCCGCTTCCCCTCCCAAGGAAGTTGGAACTGCAATGAGGTCTCCCCTCAGTCTCCTCCAGGCTGAACAGACCAGGTGCCCTCAGCTGCTCCTCATGCAGCTTCCCCTCAAGGCCATTCCCCATCTTCATTGCCCACCTCTGTTCTTGTTCGGGTGGGATAAGAGCAGTGTTGGGGACCCAGCAAAGGTTGGGCTTTGGCGGGAGCTGCTGCCTGTCCCACCCCGAGCACAGTGCAATGGGATTGTCCCGGTGGCTGCTCTGCCACTGAGGGTCCTGATGCTCTTTGGGTTGTCCCCAGGCCACGGGAAGTGCAGCTGTGGGGACTGTGTGTGCGACCCGGACTGGACGGGCGACTACTGCAACTGCACGACGCGCACGGACACGTGCATGTCCGGCAACGGGCTGGTCTGCTCCGGCCACGGCTCCTGCGTGTGCGGCCGCTGCGAGTGCACCCAGCCCGGCTCCTACGGGGACACCTGCGAGAGGTGCCCCACCTGCCCCGACGCCTGCACCATCAAAAAGTGAGCCAGGGCGCGGGGCTGGGGCAGCTCGTGCCACGGCGGGGGCTGGCAGAGAGAGGGGGTGGGTTATATCCCACTGGGAGCTGGAACAGAGCTGGAATGGATCACATCTCACCAGGGGGCTGGCAGAGAGATGGGGTGGGTTATATCCCACTGGGGAGCTGGAGGAGAGCTGGAATGGATCATATCTCACCAGGG